CTCCGAGCTAATTTCCTAAAGTGGGAATATTTCATACAGTCAACCTGGTCATCATTTAATTCCACCTAATAACCAGAGGGAAGTCGCCAAGAGTTCATACTTTGGCTATACAAAATGGCGCATTGCATTCGATATACGGCCGCCTTTTTGACCTAACTGTTATTTGCGTGCATACGTAGCTAGTTGTTGTTTAATAAATTAATTATTATCGATATAGTTTTAATAAAGGAACATTAATTTGTTGGTATGTTCCAAAGATTCTGCTCGTTAAAAAGCAGGTTGTGAAGAGCTAATAGCAGGGAAAATAGGAACTACACAATTCTGTTGGTGAGAGCTTTAAGCAGAGTAACAGCGATTTCAGCATAGCCCCGTTCTTAAGCTAGATAAAGATTTCGCCAGTTACTCTGTGTACCGCATTTGTGTCTGCTCCAAAAAGGAAAGGCCGATAAATTGATGGTATCCGTCAAGTGACAACAGACAGAATATTCAAGAATTAGCACCAGTCGGTTAGCAGTTTGCTCCGAGTTGTGTCTCAGACGGAACAGATAAGCATGAAGGTCAAACTATGGAGGAAATATTATTTACCTGCTCTTATCAGAGCATTGACCATATTTACATTTCGTCTTCTCATTGAGACCATGAATGGAGCGCAGCCATGCCGATCGTCGGCTTTAACAGTTGCCCCTCGAGAAAGTAGAAGACGAATGGCTGACTTATGGTCGCCACAAACGGCTGCATGGAGAGGAAGTTTAATCGATGTGCCTAAGAGACTTACATGTGCCTTACAAGCCAGCAAGATTTGTACCACCGTCATATTTGTGCCAGACGCAGCCTGTGCAAGAGGAGGGTACATTTCCCTTCTCCGATACTCCAATAAAAGCCACCACCGTCACAGTGACCTCCAACCTGGCAACATTACCTTAAGCAGAAGCAAAGCGGCTAACAATTTGAAAGCGAAGTCATAAGAATGTGCGCTGTTATTGACTAGTGCTGCAATAAGTCAAATGGATGTCACTTTCACGGGTAAAGAATATACAGTGCGGAGTAGTCTGTACCCTACGCTAGTCACAAACCATTAGGGAGGCGAAAGTGAGAAACGATTTATTGCGCTAGTTCAATTCGGACCTCGTGAAGGCACCTTGCTAGATTAGATATCTCACAACATCAATGGTTTTGAAGTAAACGGCATACATTAGGGTCGTGAATTTAGATCATTGGTAGCTTTTATGTGGATTCCATGTAAAAGTATAAGTTCACATAATTTATGTTGTTAGTAATTGCTGCCCACTGAAGTGCCGTATTGTCCAGTATGACAGTCAGAGTAAATGACGTATCGTAGATGAGAATGACTTGCACCGCCCTTTCAGAACCGCACACGTCAGTCTTTAAGAGGGGAATCTCGCTATCTTCACACAGTCACGTCTGGATCAGCCTATTATACACAAAGAAAAAAGGATTGCACGTAAAACACAATAACTGTGGCAGCTGTACAGTTTTACACTGATCAGAATTTTGTGGATTTTGTTTGTAATGGGAATTTGGCAAAGGCAGGCTGACTTCGAGACGCAGAAAGTCTGCATCCTAACTATGCCGATGGATGAGTTGACAAGGGATATGAAGAAAATATCAAAACAGTTTGAGTTCCTACAAAATGATTGGAGGCACTTGTTCACCTTCACTTATTTCCAAAATATAGACGGCTTTAATTGCACCACACTTTAATATGATGGAGTGAGTGAGTTTGGAATAAAGTTAGGAGAATGAATTAACACTCATTCGAAATAGGGAATAGAGGGCGATGGGAACGTTGCACTTGATGGCTCCTGTCACTGCTCTCCTGTAGAAGGACTAAAATTATTTAATAATTAGAGAACAAGAAACTGCATTCAAGACTTCATATTTACAATACCTATGATAACCAAACACAAAAAGAAATTGTATGTTGCATAACTTACACGCACCTTAGGACAAATTAATGCTGCCAAAATACGGCTACTGATCGCCATTCAGTCCTGCATTTACCTAAAATGCAATAACCTATGCAAACTTTATATAGAAATATTTTTTTTGTAATTTGCAGTTATTGATGTTTTAAGTTCTCAAACCTACTTCGATATTAAATGAAGGCAGTATCATGTTATAAAGTAGATAATTGCTGCCTTCACGTTTTAAATGAATAGCTAAACCTGATATTTTAATGATCAACTGCTAAGTTAGTCTTCTACATCAAACACCATCTGATTTCGAGGTCTAAAATGCAGGTGCAAAATTCAGCGTGAGCATGAAATTTTTAATGTAATTTTAATGCTGACATTGCTGCATCAATACTGATCACGGTAATACAAGGTACTTTACGATATTCGACGACAATATTGACAACGCTAACAGTGACAAGAATGTCGATCACGGCAAATCAAGCGTCTACTGCAAATGCAAGGGCTGGACAGAAAATTCCAACGTTTACTTGAAACTCAACCATTGAAACAGTGGCTTTGACAAACGTAACTTCTACGACAATCAGCAGCAATTTAACGACAAATTTTATAATGTCTCCGATCTAACACACCTTTTAATCTGCTTTGAAGAATACCAATTTTGTGGGGGACTCACAGGGTCAGCATATGGCAGATGAGAATTTTCTATTGCCTCTTTCCTTTTTTCCGTTCCTCCATTTAGGCTCTTACCTGTTCTTCTAACAAAATTGATTAGTTGTGTCATTCTGAACATGTGCTTTACGATATTCTTTGCTCTCGTGTATAAGCGGTCATTGCTACTTGCTGAAATTGGCTTTATCAAGCTTAACTAAGTCGGTGGAAAAGTGCCACTACAGCGAAGGTGTCGCCACTTCTCTGCTGCAGCTTCTCCATCACATTTAACGATATCTAATGAACCGTGTATGGAAGTGATGGTGGTGTGATTTCCTTATTATTTTGTAAGTATAAGTAGACTTACAGTCGTCTCGTAGGAAGTGATCACGTAGGCTTGATTTTTTCACCTAGAATAGGATTTAGGAGGTTATGAGTCACTTACAGGACATCACAAATCACCTCGACGAATGTCGCCATGTAGTATGCTAGCAGAACATTTGTTCTGCTGACAATGAAGAAATCGCTCCAAGTCGACCAAGTACAGTGGTAATTGCTATCGCCAAAACGTTTGCCATTTAAATTAACCATTTCACCACATTTTTTATTCATGTGACATGAAAATGTTAAAGATTTTCATGAGCAGGTTAAAATGGATGTAATGGAACATGGGTCTGGTGTATGTGTTAAACTATCACACGAAATACGGGAAAGCATAATAGGCTGTTGGGCTCTGCTAATTCAATAGACTGTCATGGATTTGGCCGAACTTGGATTGGATATCTCAACTGTCGCAAATGACACTGATGGATTTGTTGGCAAGTCATGGTCTAACGAGTGACCATCCTTCATATTGTAGCCATGAGGTAGTTAGACAAATGTATCTACTAGCCCTGCCTCATTCATTATTAGGTGCTTGCGAATTGATCGCTAGGCGGACAGCCCTTAATCAAGTACTATAAAAATAGGTAGAGGTTGATCGTATGCATTCTTTGGACTGTTGCAAATGTAATGGTAATTCTCAGGCATTTGTTTTTGTCCATCTAGGTGGTGCTACTTCAGCGTTTAAGTAGGCGGGAATCCGGATTTCTGGCAAGAAAGTGCCTATTGCTACAACTCAAGATATTATAAGTCAGGAGTCAATTAATCCTCCAAGCACAGACGCCTTTGCTCACATACAATTCACCTGACACCCTACCGTCTCTAAATTATGCAGCATGGGGTCCGGCCAAATCAAAGTACGATATACCATCCAAAGCTTAGTCCAGTCCTACTAATCTCACTTAAGCAATCGTTCATTCATCAGCTTCGACAGGACACGGAGTTGCCCTAGATTCTCGAAGAAATTAGCTAGTGGGTGGATGTAGGTTCTCTTTGAAATAGCCTGACAAAAAGGCATGATTCTTGCCCCATGTTAAATAAAAAGTATGGGGATATGGAAACAACACTTATAGGCAAAGTTTGTAAGCTAAAAGTTTGCCTTTGGAGTACTAGAAATGGCTCAAAGATCGGGCTCCATAGCAAATCGAATTGGCCTCTGTTCACTTTGATGCAAGACACCAAGATTTGACTAGTAATTCCATTTTACACACAAGATCCTGCATTTGATAATAAACATTTCTTAGAGATGAACAAGACGTTCACCACAGATAATCTTGACATATGACGAAAAAGCATTATCATTTGCAGTGAACAAAGGAGCTTTTATTATTGTTCACAGGAATGTCTTCTCCTGATACACTTCTAATGAGACCCAGGTTTTGTATGTGATTTCGCCTATGTGCAAAGCGTCGCTTAATTTCACATTCTTGGAATTCCTGCTCCTGAAAAAGCGAAATTCGGCTAGCGAACGAAAGGGCCATATAATTCATTCGTTGCTGAAAACGAATGTAAAGACTACTTCTATTCACCATTTAACTAAAGCGCCGATCTTCTGCATCAGCGTACAAAATGGTCACCTCACATGAAATGGCGTTGAGACTACTACTTTTAATCAACAACCACTTTGAACTTGACAAATTGGCCAAGCAGTTGTAATTTCTGTCCAAAATGGCACTTTAATTCATTTCTTATACATATGCATGTTATTTTTTGGGGAGATGTAAGTGCTCATTTTTCGATAAGGTGCTTGTTCTCATCAAAGTTCAGAGATTGCCCAATAAAACTCCAGATTTGCCTAAAATCACAGATAAAATGTAAAGAGAAATGGTTCTTCGCCTTATTAGCTCTGATGCCAACTGCGTTTACAGGTTGTTTCTTCCGATGAAATTTTTCCCAGACCATGTGTATCGCAACATGCGATGCGGATGACTTGGCAAAATCACCAACTTGAATTCCCCTCTAACCCTAACCCCATCTTGCTGACCGTCAGCTGTCAAAATTTTTATTTAATGTCATTTGAACGCAAAGTGAAAAATGGGAGGACAAGACGCAGATGAAGGGTACTATCAAGGTTAGAGCACATCTATTGAGAAGTCACCACCATGTCAATTATTAAAAGGGGACTTTACATAAATACAGGTTGAGAGGGTTTTTAATAGTTCAGAGTATCTTGCATTTGTAAGCTCAAACTGCTTTTACCATTGTCTTAGCTGAAGCACACAGGAGTCACATCTACTTGCCTTTTTAAGGAGCGAAGACATGCAAATGCAATGATTGTCATACGGATTTTTTAGCACCTAAACCCAAAATCCCTTCATCAAGAAGAATGATCTTGATAATGCAGCAGATGAAGTTCAGCTTTGCCTTATAACAGATTGCAAAGCGTGCTATATGATAAACCTAAGAGTGGCGCAATATCAAATTAATTACAAGAATTACGGACAATTAAAGCTAGTTAAGATTATTATATATGCACTCTTCATTTCTGTAAGTATAACGGTTACGAAATTATGTGTTTTATATCCCAAGGTAGCCGGTAAACATGTATTCTTTAGTCCTTTTTTTTTTTTACAGGCTGCACCAGCATTTCGCTTGGGTGGAGAGACCGTCACGATGCTCGCCTCAACCTGCCCAGCTCGTTATCCTTAATTGCGACGCATAGGATGCCAGAAATGGCTTTAAGGGCTCTCATTAAGGCGTAGTATTCGTAGTCACCAATTAAGCTAAAACACACGCATTGAGGTAGGAGTCATTTGCTACGTTAACAAAGACTCGAGACAGTGGTTTCTTTAAAAGACTTTTACTTTTAATAATAACTTATCCTGCCTTCTGAAGGCAAGCAGCACTAGCCTGGTAATCCTTTAGTTTGTATCAAATCCCTTAGCACGGAGCGTCTGACCATTGTAAACAATAAAATATGGCCTTTACGGAGGTGTCAATTTACGATAAGATAGCTTTCTGTACGATACACTGACCCACCAAAGTGCCGACATTAACATCCTTCACAAACACTTCTTATAGCACCTACCATTAGCGAACGAAACCGCGTGATGCCATCAGCCATCCTGTCTATAAGACTTGCTGCTAGACAAACAAGCTCAAATTTTCCTGTTCACTTGTGACAGAGGGCTCCGAGCTAATTTCCTAAAGTGGGAATATTTCATACAGTCAACCTGGTCATCATTTAATTCCACCTAATAACCAGAGGGAAGTCGCCAAGAGTTCATACTTTGGCTATACAAAATGGCGCATTGCATTCGATATACGGCCGCCTTTTTGACCTAACTGTTATTTGCGTGCATACGTAGCTAGTTGTTGTTTAATAAATTAATTATTATCGATATAGTTTTAATAAAGGAACATTAATTTGTTGGTATGTTCCAAAGATTCTGCTCGTTAAAAAGCAGGTTGTGAAGAGCTAATAGCAGGGAAAATAGGAACTACACAATTCTGTTGGTGAGAGCTTTAAGCAGAGTAACAGCGATTTCAGCATAGCCCCGTTCTTAAGCTAGATAAAGATTTCGCCAGTTACTCTGTGTACCGCATTTGTGTCTGCTCCAAAAAGGAAAGGCCGATAAATTGATGGTATCCGTCAAGTGACAACAGACAGAATATTCAAGAATTAGCACCAGTCGGTTAGCAGTTTGCTCCGAGTTGTGTCTCAGACGGAACAGATAAGCATGAAGGTCAAACTATGGAGGAAATATTATTTACCTGCTCTTATCAGAGCATTGACCATATTTACATTTCGTCTTCTCATTGAGACCATGAATGGAGCGCAGCCATGCCGATCGTCGGCTTTAACAGTTGCCCCTCGAGAAAGTAGAAGACGAATGGCTGACTTATGGTCGCCACAAACGGCTGCATGGAGAGGAAGTTTAATCGATGTGCCTAAGAGACTTACATGTGCCTTACAAGCCAGCAAGATTTGTACCACCGTCATATTTGTGCCAGACGCAGCCTGTGCAAGAGGAGGGTACATTTCCCTTCTCCGATACTCCAATAAAAGCCACCACCGTCACAGTGACCTCCAACCTGGCAACATTACCTTAAGCAGAAGCAAAGCGGCTAACAATTTGAAAGCGAAGTCATAAGAATGTGCGCTGTTATTGACTAGTGCTGCAATAAGTCAAATGGATGTCACTTTCACGGGTAAAGAATATACAGTGCGGAGTAGTCTGTACCCTACGCTAGTCACAAACCATTAGGGAGGCGAAAGTGAGAAACGATTTATTGCGCTAGTTCAATTCGGACCTCGTGAAGGCACCTTGCTAGATTAGATATCTCACAACATCAATGGTTTTGAAGTAAACGGCATACATTAGGGTCGTGAATTTAGATCATTGGTAGCTTTTATGTGGATTCCATGTAAAAGTATAAGTTCACATAATTTATGTTGTTAGTAATTGCTGCCCACTGAAGTGCCGTATTGTCCAGTATGACAGTCAGAGTAAATGACGTATCGTAGATGAGAATGACTTGCACCGCCCTTTCAGAACCGCACACGTCAGTCTTTAAGAGGGGAATCTCGCTATCTTCACACAGTCACGTCTGGATCAGCCTATTATACACAAAGAAAAAAGGATTGCACGTAAAACACAATAACTGTGGCAGCTGTACAGTTTTACACTGATCAGAATTTTGTGGATTTTGTTTGTAATGGGAATTTGGCAAAGGCAGGCTGACTTCGAGACGCAGAAAGTCTGCATCCTAACTATGCCGATGGATGAGTTGACAAGGGATATGAAGAAAATATCAAAACAGTTTGAGTTCCTACAAAATGATTGGAGGCACTTGTTCACCTTCACTTATTTCCAAAATATAGACGGCTTTAATTGCACCACACTTTAATATGATGGAGTGAGTGAGTTTGGAATAAAGTTAGGAGAATGAATTAACACTCATTCGAAATAGGGAATAGAGGGCGATGGGAACGTTGCACTTGATGGCTCCTGTCACTGCTCTCCTGTAGAAGGACTAAAATTATTTAATAATTAGAGAACAAGAAACTGCATTCAAGACTTCATATTTACAATACCTATGATAACCAAACACAAAAAGAAATTGTATGTTGCATAACTTACACGCACCTTAGGACAAATTAATGCTGCCAAAATACGGCTACTGATCGCCATTCAGTCCTGCATTTACCTAAAATGCAATAACCTATGCAAACTTTATATAGAAATATTTTTTTTGTAATTTGCAGTTATTGATGTTTTAAGTTCTCAAACCTACTTCGATATTAAATGAAGGCAGTATCATGTTATAAAGTAGATAATTGCTGCCTTCACGTTTTAAATGAATAGCTAAACCTGATATTTTAATGATCAACTGCTAAGTTAGTCTTCTACATCAAACACCATCTGATTTCGAGGTCTAAAATGCAGGTGCAAAATTCAGCGTGAGCATGAAATTTTTAATGTAATTTTAATGCTGACATTGCTGCATCAATACTGATCACGGTAATACAAGGTACTTTACGATATTCGACGACAATATTGACAACGCTAACAGTGACAAGAATGTCGATCACGGCAAATCAAGCGTCTACTGCAAATGCAAGGGCTGGACAGAAAATTCCAACGTTTACTTGAAACTCAACCATTGAAACAGTGGCTTTGACAAACGTAACTTCTACGACAATCAGCAGCAATTTAACGACAAATTTTATAATGTCTCCGATCTAACACACCTTTTAATCTGCTTTGAAGAATACCAATTTTGTGGGGGACTCACAGGGTCAGCATATGGCAGATGAGAATTTTCTATTGCCTCTTTCCTTTTTTCCGTTCCTCCATTTAGGCTCTTACCTGTTCTTCTAACAAAATTGATTAGTTGTGTCATTCTGAACATGTGCTTTACGATATTCTTTGCTCTCGTGTATAAGCGGTCATTGCTACTTGCTGAAATTGGCTTTATCAAGCTTAACTAAGTCGGTGGAAAAGTGCCACTACAGCGAAGGTGTCGCCACTTCTCTGCTGCAGCTTCTCCATCACATTTAACGATATCTAATGAACCGTGTATGGAAGTGATGGTGGTGTGATTTCCTTATTATTTTGTAAGTATAAGTAGACTTACAGTCGTCTCGTAGGAAGTGATCACGTAGGCTTGATTTTTTCACCTAGAATAGGATTTAGGAGGTTATGAGTCACTTACAGGACATCACAAATCACCTCGACGAATGTCGCCATGTAGTATGCTAGCAGAACATTTGTTCTGCTGACAATGAAGAAATCGCTCCAAGTCGACCAAGTACAGTGGTAATTGCTATCGCCAAAACGTTTGCCATTTAAATTAACCATTTCACCACATTTTTTATTCATGTGACATGAAAATGTTAAAGATTTTCATGAGCAGGTTAAAATGGATGTAATGGAACATGGGTCTGGTGTATGTGTTAAACTATCACACGAAATACGGGAAAGCATAATAGGCTGTTGGGCTCTGCTAATTCAATAGACTGTCATGGATTTGGCCGAACTTGGATTGGATATCTCAACTGTCGCAAATGACACTGATGGATTTGTTGGCAAGTCATGGTCTAACGAGTGACCATCCTTCATATTGTAGCCATGAGGTAGTTAGACAAATGTATCTACTAGCCCTGCCTCATTCATTATTAGGTGCTTGCGAATTGATCGCTAGGCGGACAGCCCTTAATCAAGTACTATAAAAATAGGTAGAGGTTGATCGTATGCATTCTTTGGACTGTTGCAAATGTAATGGTAATTCTCAGGCATTTGTTTTTGTCCATCTAGGTGGTGCTACTTCAGCGTTTAAGTAGGCGGGAATCCGGATTTCTGGCAAGAAAGTGCCTATTGCTACAACTCAAGATATTATAAGTCAGGAGTCAATTAATCCTCCAAGCACAGACGCCTTTGCTCACATACAATTCACCTGACACCCTACCGTCTCTAAATTATGCAGCATGGGGTCCGGCCAAATCAAAGTACGATATACCATCCAAAGCTTAGTCCAGTCCTACTAATCTCACTTAAGCAATCGTTCATTCATCAGCTTCGACAGGACACGGAGTTGCCCTAGATTCTCGAAGAAATTAGCTAGTGGGTGGATGTAGGTTCTCTTTGAAATAGCCTGACAAAAAGGCATGATTCTTGCCCCATGTTAAATAAAAAGTATGGGGATATGGAAACAACACTTATAGGCAAAGTTTGTAAGCTAAAAGTTTGCCTTTGGAGTACTAGAAATGGCTCAAAGATCGGGCTCCATAGCAAATCGAATTGGCCTCTGTTCACTTTGATGCAAGACACCAAGATTTGACTAGTAATTCCATTTTACACACAAGATCCTGCATTTGATAATAAACATTTCTTAGAGATGAACAAGACGTTCACCACAGATAATCTTGACATATGACGAAAAAGCATTATCATTTGCAGTGAACAAAGGAGCTTTTATTATTGTTCACAGGAATGTCTTCTCCTGATACACTTCTAATGAGACCCAGGTTTTGTATGTGATTTCGCCTATGTGCAAAGCGTCGCTTAATTTCACATTCTTGGAATTCCTGCTCCTGAAAAAGCGAAATTCGGCTAGCGAACGAAAGGGCCATATAATTCATTCGTTGCTGAAAACGAATGTAAAGACTACTTCTATTCACCATTTAACTAAAGCGCCGATCTATGGTATTTCCAATTTGATATCCTAAATTTAGAACCGAAGGCATGTAACCTATTCACAACAGTTAGGGAAAGTGAACTACATTCAACTCAGGTGTAAATTGTTCTTCAATAATTTGTGTCCAAAGTATG